AGGACCTCGGTTAGAGTAGGGGCCGGAGGTGGATTCATTATTCCCACAGGCATTTCCTCTCTACGCTAGACTGTGCCAGATGCTTAGGGATTTGACACAAAGAAGACCCATTCCAGCTCCCTGGGAGCTCTGAGTCTGGCAGAGATGTCGGCTCTAAAAGCAATCATGGTTGCGACAGGCACGGTGATAGCCAGGAGAGGAAGCAATTATATATCTGGGGACGCAGGGCTTCCTGGAGGAAGTGACATACAAGTTGGACTTTGAAAGCTGAATAAGAGGTCACCACTGACAAGGTGGGGAAATGAACAGCTTATGCCAAGGCATGTGGATAGGAAAAAAACAGAAGGTGTTTTCTTCTGGACATTACAAATCCTTTCTCTTGTTGGGACGTGAGGAAAATGGAGGCCGCACCCACAATCAGGCTAAAAAGAGGGTCAAGACCAGGAAACAGTGGATGTAGTTCAAGGAAGAGTTAGGATTAAAATTCGATTTGGGATTTGAATGCAGGTAAAGGGAGACATTTAGTTGTATCAGATTGGCTGATAGCAAAATAACAAAAATGCACGTGCTTTACACGTATTATCTCACTTAGACCTCAGAACAAGCCTAAGAGGTTATGGTTATTCTTATCCCATATTACAGATGGGGAGATGGAGATACAGAGCGGTCAGTGACTTGCCCAAGGTCACGCATTTTGTTGATGGTGGTTGCCAGGGGCTGGGCAGGGAGGGACGGGGAGCTGGTGTTTAACGACTAGGTAAAGTGTTTTAGTTTGGAGAGATCAGAAAATTACTGGAAATGAATGTTGCTGATGGTTGCACCATAGTGTGAATGTACCTGATGCCACTTACAGATGGTTAAAACGGTAAATTTTAAGTCATGTATATTTTACTATAATTTAAAAAGAAAGAAAAAGACAAAGGAAGGGCATGAAAAGAGGTAGATATTGCATCTTCGGCCGCGGGCAGGTGGGGAGAGAAATTTGTCTTCCCAGGCCAGGCCTGCCACAGCGGAAGTGAACACGCTCAGGAGGGCTGAGGACCCAGCTGCGTGGCTCAGTGTGTGACCGGGGGCAGGTCTCATCACCTTTTTGGGAAAACCGAGGAAGCTGGCTGATTCACAGATTTCCTCTAGCGTCTGCCTTCTGTGGTTCTGCCTTATTAGGAAAGTTCGGCTCATGCAGAGGGTGAGGTAAAAGGAACGGGAAAGCCAGGCCTTCACCATACTGGACATTTCCAAGTCCTTTGACTTACAATTGTGCTTCAGAATAATGTGCCATGTAGGAATTCTATCAGCGAGGGTCTGACACAAAACAGATGTCACCCTAGGTCACTGAGGAGAGTTTACTAAGGTGTGGGAGGACTTGGGGAACCAAAAGGGGATGGCGCAGTCCCAGCAGGATGGTTATAACCACTGGGGAGGTACAGGCACCCCCAACGGAGCCGGCATGGGGGAGGTGCCTTCGGTAAGGACAACACTGCAGGAAAGAAGCTCGGGAAATGAATACCCAGACCTCCCTCTCTCTTCCTCCCCTCCATCTCCTACCAAGTCCTCTGTTGGCCAAACCCAACAGGAAGCCAGAGGACAGGGAGCCCATCAGTGAAATGCATACAGGCCAGCCTGGCAAGGAAAGTCAGAGGGGCAGAGGGAGGGGCCGATGCAAAGTGAATCAGCACCAAGCTATCCAGCGGCCTGGCTAGGCATCCTCCCTGGATGACCCCCACCCTCTTCCAAAAGCTGACTTTGGCCCCAGGGTGAGAGGGAGCCCTGGGCTCTTTCAGGCCCCGGGGGTGGGGGGAAGGGGGCACACGCGAGCTATTTGGTCTCTTGGAAAGAGCCCTGCTTACTAATGTCGACAAAAGAAACATCCAAACCTGTAGAGAATTTTTATGAGTTTATTTGGGCCAAACTCGGGACAATTGCTGGGAAGCAAAATCTAAATGAACTGAGAAAATGCTCCAGAGGATGGCAGTTTTGCAGCTTATTTTATACATTAGAATCAAAAGAGGGGAAGTAGGGAGGGTACATGAAATCCATTGGTGGCAGATTAAGGTGGGCAGGGAAAAGCAAAGGAAGAGGGAAATCTCTGGGATTGGATTAAAATTAGAACGAAGAGACACATACTTCTTGTACACTGTTAGGTACAGGATAGTTAGTAATGAACAATCACAGCACAGAGAGATGGTATTTGGGGAACAAGATAACAATGAGGGGTTCTGTGGTCTGTGCTCCGGTGTGGTGGGTGTGCCAAGGGGTCTGGAAAAGGAGATTATTCTGACATTTCAAAGGTACGTTATCTTAGAGGCAAAAAGACAATTGACAGGCTCACTTAAGGTGAAGATGGACCCTTATCGAGGAAGCTAGATGTGCCTGTGACTTGTAGTTAGGAATTTTTATGTTCAGACCATCCTGTGTGGTTACTTTCTGTCTCTGAGTTTATAGGGCCTGTCATGCTGGCTGGCCTCCCCCAAGCTTGCCAGGTTTAGTTAGTGGCCCCTTTTTGTCCTCACTAGTGTGAGAACATTGGTTGGCCAAGGCCCCAAACCTCCAACTCATGCAGTGATGTCTACGTTCTGTTATTTGTTCAGCCAACCTCTCCTGAAAATGACTCGATGTCAAGCCAGGGGTAGGAGGCACTGGATGAACACGTGTGCAGCAGCCCCAGTCACCCTGATTGTGATGTCTGACCACAGCCGGACTGTGGTGGGTCCCCGAACTCCAGCTCTGTGAGTCTGGAGGCTGCTCTCGGACACCTCCTCTGTGAAATGGGTCAGTCAACCACCTTTTCCTCCGAGCGCTGCCCTGACGATTCAGAGGACATTTCTGAAGCGTGAGGCACTGGCAGTGGCAGGGACTGAGTGTTCCACTTTGGGAATCAATGGCAGCCACCTGCCCCTCACTCATTCGCCACCCTGTCGCCGCGTGTTTGCTGCCACGGTTGTAATGACATTGTATTTGCATTTGTTGCGCTTTTTCGCTCCCTCTCTGCGTCTCTGAGACTGTGATCCCAGGAGAAGCCCCTGGCCCCTTTCTTCTCCCTGCATCCCCAGGGACGGGGGCTGGATTTACGACCGCCCGCACTCATGCTGTGGCCGGACGCTGCCAAGGGCTGGCTTCACAAGCACTTAATCGTGAGGACAGCCCTGGCGGGAAGGCGGTACTACCAGGCCCGTTTTACCGATTAGGCGCCGAGCCCAGAGAGCTTGAGCAAGTCGCCCAAGGTTGCGGAGCCGAAATTCTACCCGGACAGTCGGGGCCTGAAATGCGGCACTGGACCGGGCTCCCCGAGCGCGTCAGTGCGGGAGGAAGTCGAGGAGTCGGTCAGTGAACGGACGGCGGGTGTGCGCCCGCCCCTCCCCCGTTGCGGTGGCTGGAAGCGGGGACAAAGGCCCGGAGGAGGCC